CCATGATGCGTTCAGGACTCTCAGCAGTTTATTTACACTGTGTACTTGAGTGAAATCTGCAGAGTAAACAGACTTGATGCCCAAAGTCTCTGCAGGTCTGTGAGCTTCCAGCTCAGTGTGTTCACTCCAACACGTTAACATGAGAGCTGGAAGGAAGCCGACTACGCTACACAGCCGCTCCACTCTGCTCTGAACAGGAAGTCCCTACTGGTCTTTATACTGGATGTGCTGCATCACTGACTGACAGCTGGTTTATAACTTCTCTTGTCGTCTTCTCTCATCAGATGGAGGCTATGAGAGGATCAGCGGTGTCCTGAGGATCCAGAGACGTTTAAGCAGCAGCATCAGTGTGTGTGTGTGTGTGTGTTGTTGTAGTTACTTTCAGTCACCAGTAGATGGAGATAATTTTATGCCCCTTAAACATTAACTGACATTTCAGTCCAAAAGGAAGAACTTCATATTGTTTGGTTTCATTCCACAAACACATTTTCCAGGCCTGGGTCTCTTTTAGCATCTTGCAGTCATTTAAGTGTCTTTGTAGCCACGTTGTGTCTCTTTGCAGGTGAAGGCCAGGAGAGCCCCTGACACTGTCCAATAGATGATGGTATATGTATAAATAATGGGTATATAGTTAAAAATAAAGTGAATTTTGATACGTTTGCTCCAGTGTTTGGTTACTGTGAAGTGCAGATTGTCAGCTTTGTGTCTCAAAACATTACTTACAGGCTATTGTTCTTTCTTCTTTTATGCTTGTTGTAATCCCTCTTTGACCTTGCTTGGCTTATGGACATTATGTCTAAAAATAGACAATATCATGAGGCTGTATGTAGTTTGACTTCCTTTTTTTTATTACGAGCAGCCTTTTATTTCCCATCCCCGGCCTCCGTGTTTGCTGGAAATGAATGTTTTGGTCTGGTGACAGAGCAACCATTTGATTTCTGGCTCAGTTAGGATGATTTCAGGATATGGCCTACTGTGCAGGATTTTCCTAAAAACAGTAGACTCATACAGATGTAATCCCTTAGTCATACTCATCACTTTTGATGCATAGGAAATGTGTGATGGTGTATGTCCCCGGAGCGACTGCTCTCTGTCTGTATTTTCTGTGTATTTTCTGGGTATGGGATGTTGATGGAGGTGTAACCCCACAGTGTTTTGGTGAAGTTAGGGCTCCATAAAAAGGTAGTGATCAGATACTTGCACACACCAACACACACACACACACACACACACACACGTTCTCAGTTTCCTTTCTGAAACTTGAATGCATCATCTTACAGCGGACAAACCACATGCTACCACCCCCTGTAAAACTTCTGAATGAAATGGTGTCCGTCTTCCTCGGGCTGCTTTGTGAACCATGACACCAGTTTCAGACACTGAATTTATTGTTTTTCCCATCACTGTATCGATGTCGAAGAATTTTGTTTAGATGTTTTTGCATTTTTGCTTGTGTCTTTGTAATTGCTTCATGTCTCTTTGTACCCATATTGTGTCTCTTTGTGGTTATTCTGAGTCTGTTTGTTGTTACTTTACATGTCTTTGTAGTCATTTTGTGTCTCTTTGTTGGCATTTTGTGTCTCTTTGTAACAACATTGTGTCTCTTTGTAGCCACATTGTGTCTCTTTGTAGCCACGTTGTGTCTCTTTGTTGGCATTTTGTGTCTCTTTGTAGCCACGTTGTGTCTCTTTGTTGGCATTTTGCGTCTTTGTAGCCACATTGTGTCTCTTTACATTGTGCCTCTTTGTTGGCATTTTGTGTCTCTTTGTAGCCATTTGTGTCTCTTTGTGGCCATGTTGTGTCTCTTTGTTGACATTTTGTGTCTCTTTGTAGCCATTTGTGTCTCTTTGTTGGCATTTTGTGTCTCTTTGTAGCCATTTGTGTCTCTTTGTAGCCACGTTGTGTCTCTTTGTTGGCATTTTGCATCTTTGTAGCCACATTGTGTCTATTTACATTGTGTCTCTTTGTAGCCATTTTGTGTCTCTTTGTTGGCATTTTGTGTCTCTTTGTTGACATTGTGTGTCTCTTTGTAGTCATGTGTGACTTTGTCATCATTTTTAGTCTCTTTGTGGCCATGTTGTGTCTCTTTTGTCATCATTTTTAGTCTCTTTGTAGCCATGTTGTGTCTCTTTTGTCATCATTTTTTGTGTCCTTGTGGTATTTTTTTGTGTCTTTGTAGTCATGTTGTGTCACTTTGTAGTCATTTGTAGTTTCTTTGTGGTCATTTTGTGTGTAGTCATTTTTGAAATCTTTCTTAATGGACATTATTAATCTTGTTGTAGCCATTTTTTTGTTGTTTTGTTGCCATATTGTGTTTTTTTGGGCCTTCCTAGTTTTTTTGTGGATTGTCTCTTTGTAATTGTTTTAGGCCTCTTTGTCTTCATGCTGTCTCTCTTTGTAGTCACATTGTGTCTCTTTGTAGTCATTTTGTGTCTCTTTGTAGCCACGTTGTGTCTCTTTCTAGTCATTTTGTGTCTCTTTGTAGCCATGTTGTGTCTCTTTCTAGTCATTTTGTGTCTCTTTGTGGTCACTCTGAGTCAGTTTGTTGTTACTTTATGTCTTTGTAGTTGCTTTATTTCTCTTTGTAGTCATTTTGTGTCTCTTTGTAATTGCTTTAGGCCTCTTTGTATTCATGCTGTGTCTCTTTGTAGTCACGTGTCTCTTTGTGGTCATTTTGTGTCTCTTTGTAGCCACGTTGTGTCTCTTTGTGGTCACTCTGAGTCTGTTTGTTCTTACTTTACATGTCTTTGTAGTTAGTCTCTTTGTAGCCATGTTGTGTCTCTTTTGTCATCATTTTTTTGTCCTTGTGGTATTTTTTGTGTCTTTGTTGTCATGTGTCTCTTTGTAGTCATTTTTAGTTTCTTTGTGGTCATTTTGTGTGTAATCATTTTTGTAATCTTTTAGTAGTCATGTTGTGTGTCTTTGTCCTCATTTTTATTCTCTTAATGGACATTATTAATCTCCTTGTAGCCATTTTGTGTCTCTTTGTAGCCATTTTTTTTGTTGTTTTGTTGCCATATTGTGTTTTTTTTGGTTCTTCTTATTTTCTTTGTGGATTTTTTGTCTCTTTGTCGTCATTTTTAATCTCTTTGTAATTGCTTTATGCCTCTTTGTATTCATGCTGTGTCTCTTTGTAGTCATGTTGTGTGTCTTTGTCCTCATTTTTATTCTCTTAATGGATATTATTAATCTTGTTGTAGCCATTTTTTTGTTGTTGTTTTGTTGCCATATTGTGTTTTTTTGGTTCTTATTGTCTTTGTGGATTTTTTTGTCTCTTTGTAGTCATTTTTAATCTCTTCGTAATTTCTTTATGCCTCTTTGTATTCATGCTGTGTCTCTTTGTAGCCATGTTGTGTCTCTTTGTAGTCGCGTTGTGTCTCTTTGTAGTCATTTTGTGTCTCTTTGTAGCCATTTTTTTGTTGTTGTTTTGTTGCCATATTGTGTTTTTTGTGGTCCTTCTTAGTTTCTTCGTGGATGTTTTGTCACTTTGTAGACATTTTTTATCTCTTTGTAATCGCTTTATGTCTCTTTGTATTCATGCTGTGTCTCTTTGTAGTCATTTTGAGTCTCTTCCTGGTGCGTTCATGTCCATTTGAGTATCATTTTGCAGGTGAAGGCCAGGAGAGCCCCTAACACTGTCCAGTAGACGGTGGTATTTGTATAAATAATGGGTATATATTTAAAAATAAAGTGAATTTTGACACGTTTGCGCCAGTGTTTGGTTACTGTGAAGTGCAGATTGTCAGCTTTGTGTCTCAAAACATTTCTTACAGGCTATTGTTCTTTCTTCTTTTATGCTTGTTGTAATCCCTCTTTGACCTTGCTTGGCTTATGGACATTATGTCTCAAAATATTAATAATATGATGAAAGTCTGACTTCCTTTTTTTTTATTACGAGCAGCTTCTTATTTTGCATGTTACTGAGCCAGCCTCCATGTTAGCTGGAAATGAAAGTTTTGGTGTTTGGAAATGTCCCAACTGTTCAATTTTAGCTGAGTAATAATGATTTCAAGATATAGCCCTACTCTGCATGATTTTCCTTCAGACTCACACAGAGGTGTTCCCTCTCAGTCATCACGTATGACTCACTATAAGTGTGTGGGAGTGTATTTTCCTGCAGAGACTCTGCTCTCTGCCTGGATTTTTTCATTTTCTGTGCTCAGGACATTAATGGGCGTGTACCCCCACCGTACTCAGGTGATGCCAGGGCTTGATAAAAAGGTAGTGACCATATGTCAGACTGAAATCAGCAGGTCTCCAAACAGGAGAGTGAATCTGGGGTTGGCTTGTACTTTCACTTTCGGTTACCACAAACAATAACCCCCCCCAAAACTCACACAAACGCAGACGCACACAGACACGCACACCCCCTTGGGTTCCGCCCTTATAGTCAGATGGTATTCATAGTCTACCCTACCTCGTCCAGTTGTCTTGAACACGTCGTGTCCTCCTGTAAAACTTCAGAATGAGCTGTTGATCATCAGTCTGCCTCGGGCTGCTCCTTGAGCCATGAAACCACTGTCGGACACTGAATTACTAGCTTTCCAAACCGCTTATAGATTTACAAGAGCTCTGTGTCGGTGTTTTTGCGTCTTTGCCATGCCTGGACGTCTTTTCCTGGTCGCCGCCATGCTGTCTTGTTGCGCGGGTAAGGTTACAAGTTTGTATCTGTAGTTTATGAATTATTAATTCTACCTTGCTACGGATTATAAATGCCTGTGTTAGATACAAACGCAAGTCTCCGTTTAGTGTAACTGAATAATGGCGTCGTTTGGGGATAAATGAGTTTTTCCTCCTCCTCTCCTGTATTATCCACTCATTTCTTCTCCTCCGCTCCTCATTCTCTTCTCCCCTTTATTTTAGTCAGTAATTCCTGAAATGCCCCTCTAAATATAATGTTAACAATCTTAAACGATTCCAGAGAGCAGACGCTTGCAGCTACTGCTTTTTTCGCACCGCAGATCCAAACTATGTGCCATTTTTGTTTGAATTAGTCATCGCAGACGCGATATGGGAGACACTGGGAGACATACATTTTATTTCAGTTTGAGTTTTGGCGTAAAAAGACACTTGATAGTGGGAAAGCAATTCGGCGTCTGTCAGAGACGGTGTGATTTTTACGCCTGACTAGTTTTCTTGTTGTTCCGCTTAATCAGAGGTGGGTAGTAACTAGTTACATTTACTCAGTTACATTTACTTGAGTAACTTTTTGGATAAAATGTACTTTTTCACTTTTTCATTTTAATGCAAAATACTTTTTACTTTTACTTGAGTTATATTGTTTTAAAGCAACAATACTCTTACTTGAGTACAATATTTGGCTACTCTACCCACCTGAGTACATGATTACATATATATATGTACAGTATATATAAGAATATATTTGTGTTTCTTGTGCCTTGATTTATGTTTATGTTTGTAAAGATTTAATTTATTTTTGTTTTAGTTAAAGGGGTATCATTTAAAATACATGAATTTGCAGATTATTATTTTTGATTGATTGATTACATTAATGTTCTTATTTTACAAATAAATCAGACGTTACTCAACAGTTACTCAGTACTTGAGCAGTTTTTTCACCAAATATTCTTTTACTCTTACTCAAGTAATTATTTGGATGACTACTTTTTACTTTTACTTGAGTAATATTGTTCTAAAGTATCAGTA